TCAAATTTGTCTACTTCCTGGGAGACAGGGAACTCGTAGGGACGACGAAGATCACCGGAAGGAATAGTCTGAAGTAGGCCGTATTGTCTTATTACCCTGTAGGGATAATAAAAAGTCATGCGGGACAAGCTTGGAAGACGGCAGAAAGGCTGCTTGTTGACACCAACCATCTTTTCTATTTTCCACCAAGGGATGGCCGACTTGATGGAAAAATTACAAGACTCGAAGACCTTCTTCCATTCATGGCGCCCCATCTTAGAAAAGCGTTTCTTCCTTCTCACGAAGCAATTTGGAGTATGATTAGGGGATTTTTCCCCACCAATCACCATCTGACAAGTGGACCAATCAGGTTCCGCCATGTGTCCGTCACATGGGCCAATAGGAGCCTGCCACGTGTCAAGCAATGATCCGTCCACTATGGACCAATTACGACACGACACGTGTCCTTCCCATGACACCTGGGATAACCGGTCACCTAGGCCCAACTTCCGTGGGAAGCCCAATCAGCCCAAGGTTAACCTAAACCTAGATTGGCACGTTTCCCGAGGTTATAAATACCTCCCTTAATCCTCATTAAGGGAGATTACGCAGATTACATACATTAAACTCTCTCACCTAGAGAGACCCAATCACTTTAATTTCCGCATTAATTACTCCTTAATCAAGTAATAACTTGACCGTCGGAGGCGGATCTCCAATCATCCGGAGCATCCGTTTGTTTTGCAGGTACAGGCGTCCGGTTCCAGTCTCGGAATTGTAACTCTCCCGCAGGACATCAGAAAACCCCGAAACAGAGTATACTTCTCAATGTTGTCCGGAGGGCTAATTAATTCCAGTCTTTCCATTAGCCATATCTGTAAAAATTGCAATGCAAATAAATTATTATTATTACTATACAAAAATATATTTTTGATTTCTGTAATTAAAAATATTATTTTTCTACTTGTAATAAAATTGGAGAGCCCCGAAAAGGTGCTTTTGGATTTTTCTTTAATTCATCAAGACTAAGCATAGTCTCTCCAACTATTAAGGGCATTGGATTTCTCCCACATTCAATTTGTTCTAAAACAGTGGATATAATTGATTGACCCTTATTATTTTTACCACTAGTAAGAAAAACACTACCACAAAAAGTGGAAAAAGCAATACATAATACACAACAGTCAAGTTAAATAGGCGATCTCTAGACTTCTATAAAACGCCTATAAAAGATAAGCGTTTTGTATCCTAAAACTTATAGAACACCTGTATAACATCTCTATACAGTTTTTTATTATTTTAATCAAATTATGACTTTACAATATAAAGCGCCTTACATAGTTCACCGTACAATACAATTTTAACATATTAAAAAAATCATTTTAAAAATGTTGGCAAACCCTAGAATCCCCACTACTTTCCTGTTTCTTATTTTTGTCTAACCCCTCCTCAACCAGCCGTTTATGGCTCTCTCTCTCTTCCCTCTCCTCAAAATTTTAGATCTAAAACTATGGCATGGTGAGATAACAAGCAAGACAAAACCAAAATTCAATTATCTCTCTCCCTGAACAACCCCCATGGTCGCTTGAGTCGGACGACACGTTTGGGTCGGGCTGTGATCCGAAGCGACACCGTCTCCTCCGCTCTCCGCTGTCAATTTAACTGTCATTGCCCAATCCTTCATATAGGTTCACTTCTCTTTCCTCTCCTTGATTTCACATGAGCATCGATTTTAATTGCCAAATTTTGTTTTGATTGTCGAATTTGAATCTACATTGAAGCAACTTACTAGATCTGATTTTCGTTTTAATTTCAGGTTTTATTCAAGGTAAACTTCATTTTCTATTCAGATTAGTTTTTAGTTTCATTTTAATCATTTAAAAACTTGTTTTTCTTTTAAGTGTCGGGAGGGGTGTAGAGTGCAACCCAGATCAGAGCACTTCAGCAAATGGGGTCCACATGCGGTGGCGGACTAGCGAGTCAGCGCAGTCGTGAAGAATGACATATTCTATATAGTTAGGTATGGGTATGCGGTATGTTGTTTACTTGCTGATGAGTAATTGAGTATTGTGAATTTGGACAAGAATTAGTAAAAGCTAAACCTTGGTTAGCTACCTTAACTATCTTTTAAATCCCTTAATATATTGTTTCTTCCATTAATTATGTTAACTTATACGGAGTATTTGAAAATGATGAATTTAATAATTATCCTCAAGGATTTTTTGTGTTGGTAAATATTGAAGTAGCTGAACATGGTGTATATTAATTAATTATAGTGTTTTTCTTTGATGAATCAGATCTGCTGCGCTGCGCATCTCGCTGCTGATGAGTTTCGTTCACTTGTTGAGTTTCTTTACTAATGATGATGATGATGATGATGACAGTAGCTCAATTGTACAAGTATTTATTATCTATCGTAAAATTTGTAATTTTGTTTTCTTGGAAGAAATTTAGTTATTGTAATTAAAATATCGGTTATTTTAATTAAAACTACTCCATATAATCATTATAATGGTATTGAGTACTCCGTATTAATTATTATTTTTATTTTTTTATTATAATTATTATTATAATAATAATAATATAATAATTTTTTTTAAAAAAAAATTAAGGAAAAGAGAGCGCCTATTTGTGACAGGCGCTCTTATCCTAAGATGACAGCTCTCTTTTCCTTGTTTTTTATTCACTTTGTACATGAAGCGCCTATCTTAGATAGGCGATCTGTATTGTATTAGATATAGAACGCCTCAAAGAGGCGTTATGTAGACTTTATAGGGCACCCCCTCAGAAGAACGCCTATGAGGCGTTCTATATTGCTTGTTTTAGGCGTTCTATATTCATGTTTTTGTAGTAGTGAAAATTGATTAAGCATGCAAAACAGGAAAGCCCTTCTTCTATAAACATGGAAAGATTCAGATAAGGTCTATCAAAATAATGACGAGCAAATTCTTTTAAATTAACTATGCTACCATCTACTATTTTTGATAGATCTCTGTCTTTTAAATTGAAGAAGCGTTTAAAATCCTTATAATAATATTCGTTTATTCTAGGGATTACTACAAGATCTAGCGCAGGGAAGCCTAAAATAGCACCGAATTCTTTCGGCAAAGGGCTAATTTCATCATACCCTATTCTAAAGCAATGAGTATCTACATCCCAATATTCTAGAGCGGTATGAATAAAATCTGAATCAAGATCTACCCCTTTGACACCATAAATACCCCCTAAGTGAAACACATCTAACTCTTTTCTCTCCTTGGCATTAAGAGACCGACACCATTCATGAGTGTAGTTGGTAAAACTTTTGGAGACTAGAGACATGATGTTATTTTTCTAAAGCTAATTATACACAAAATCGGAGCACTTTTAATCCAGGAGGGATTCGAAGACAGCGCTCATTAGCGCCAGACGCCAAATATTGGCGCCTGACGCCAGAACTTGGCGCCAAACGCTAAGTGTAGCGCCTGGCACTACACCAAAACGCGTGGCGCCAGCTGGCGCTAATATGTCTCATTGTACGAGCTTTCTAAAAAACCGCGTTTTGACTTGATTCGAGTCTGCCACTGACTTTACGGTTTCCTTATTTTTTCTAAAAATTCATTTATTCTTTCCTCTTAATTAATATAACTATTATATTATTTTTCGGAGTTTATTTAGACTAACTTTCAAGTTTTTCTAAATCCAATATTTTTTATGTGACTTATTTTTTCATTTTTTCTTTTTTGGGGGAGAAAGTCGGATACCCTCCATCAATAATAAAAATGACGGAATTTTTGCGCAAAATTATTTTCACAATTATTTGCACACACAAACATGCACATAACAATAATAAAAAATGAAAAAAACACGATAAATAATGAATAAACTCATAATAGTATGTATATACAAACATGCCTAAATAATGAGTCTAATAAAAGGAAAAGTTTTATACAAAGTCAAAATAAAATAATAAAAAGCACAAGAACAATCTACGGCGCCGGGGGACGTACACCCATCATCTCATAAAACTGCGCCGTACGAGGAGTAACCTCTCCACCAGCTCCGGCTCCAGCTCCAATCTCCTCGGGAGGAGGAAAACTCAGCACAGGACCCGTCCACCCAAGATCATCCTGAGGCTGAGGCTACGGAGGCTACTACAATGACGAGCCAACCTCGTACATCCCATAACCTCTAAGAGTCGAGGTAGCCTCTCCCTGGCCTCCCGACGCAGCATGTGCACCATCAGATGAAGAGCCCGAGCCCTCTACCGCCTTGGTACGGGCAGCCTCAGAACGACCGCCCCGACCATCCGAACCAGTGCGGCGACGTCTCAAGCTAGACCTCGCCGGATCCCTCCGTACCTCAGGTCTCGTGCGGGTACGAGAAGGAATGGGCTGACCCTACAAAAGAAACTAAGATCAGAAACATGAAAAATAGAAGCGGTAATGCTAAAAACATAAGAAGGGAAGCTACCTCCTGAACAGCGTTGTCTCGACGGCAGGTAGCCACGTTCCTCATCCGGACGAGCTGGCTACGGAAGGCATCTATGCATCGTGCCATCGCCGAAACCACCTCGCGTGAAAACTGTCAAAGAAATAAGTCAGTAAACATGCATAACATATATGGACAAAAAGTCGCAAATAAATAAGCTTACCCGAGTCTGGTGACGAGGAATCGACCGCTCCACTAAGCGCTCGCCCTCAGGAGCCGGAGGAATAATCTCCTCAATCGGTTCATATGTCCCCTGATAGTGGATGGACATACGGGGTGGCACGAACTCAGCAGGATCATCCTGACAAAGCAAAACAAAATCAGTGAAGCATTACTTGGGGGCTACTTAACGAAAGGTAAGAGCTGAAAATCATACCGCCACATCCTCAGCAAGTACAGGAACTGGAGCTAACAACGACAGTAACTCCTCCCCATAGCATCGCCCAGGATCGTGTAAGATTGCCAAGGGGTGCCGGCTCCCTCCGACATGCTCATTAACCTCGTGGCGTTAAACATGTGACATGGTGGAGGAGTAGGAACGACAAAGGTATCTGAGGAATGCTGTATAGCAACCCTCTCCCCAAGATATGCGACCGCTCCATAAGTCCCCAAGAAATAGAAACGCTTAGCAGAATACTGCGCGGCTAGCCCAGGGACCGCCAAGCCGACCCATGGTCGGTACAGTACCTCGGGCTCCTGCAAAGAGTGTCTATCAGATAAGGCTGCCCCAGGAAGCACTAACAGGAAACCTGCGCGGCGACGGTCTCGCCAGCGCAGCTGAGAGAAAGTACTCGTAGAACCAGATCTACAAGAAGCAAAAGTTATCAGCAAGTGTTAACTAAAATGTAGAGCTAAACTTTATAGGGAATAAAGTATACCTCTACGACCCTCCAAAAGCCGGATAAAGCAATGTTCGTCGCAAAGGACCGATGTCAACACGAGTCTCGCAGTGCTCGGATGAAATCAACATAGGCCAAGCTGGCCCAGTCATAAGTCCCGAACTGAGTCGTCTTTACCTCAGATCGAGCCCGAACAACAATCGGACCCAATAGCTCCTCGACCTCGGGAGAAAAGATAGCAATATCGATGTCGAACGACAGCGCCACAGAGCTAAACTCCAGTCCCGTAATGAGACTAAAGTCGGTAAGAGTGACCATCATCTCACCCCAAGGGAAGTGGAAAGTGTTGGTGATGTCCCAAAAGAACTCCACAAGAGCACGGACTATATGGTGACCCCCGCTAGAGGCAATCATGGCCTCTAAGGTCTCAAACAGTGCAGTAAGCCCGTAAGACTCCCATAGAAGTCTCGTCTGATCGTCTTTGGCGATGTACATCTTGTACAGGTCGCCCAAACCATCGCAACCAGAGTCGTGGCAACGTGTCCTCCCAACTGTGACGCCCCGTCTCACCCTCTCAGAGATATGGTGGACGGGAGAGAAGTACAAGGTCCGCTCACCCCACTCAGGAAGTCGGCCGAGTGAAGTGGACGATTCAGCGTCATCCTCTACGGGCTCATGCTCCCGTCGAACTTCTCGTGACAGTGAACTAGAGCCTCCTGTCTAGCCATGCTACATTGTGCAGAATTATCATAAATTAAGGTTCTATGGTATCTAAGGTTCGCCTAGCCGCATGATACTATATTCACAAAAAACAGAGTACGTAGTACTAAAACAGAGCACAAATTCAAATTGAGCATACACGACATTTTCAAGCAATCAAACAATTTCTTGCAATATTTTGGTAATTATTGTGACAAATTGGACAAGAATTGCTAGCAAAAACATCAAGAACAAGCCACATTGTCTTCCCAACCTTAAGAGGTTCAACAATGGTGATTTGTTCATTTATTCACCAAATTGAGCCAAACAAGTCTCAAATTACTCCCACGGCAATATATAAACATATTCAAGCAATTTCATGGCATAAAATTTGATAAACAAAGAGAATTAAGTAAAATCTAAATTAGAATTTTCAAGAAATTCGTGGATAAATGCATGCAAAATGCATTAAAACCGGCGATTTTGGAGGAAACTTACATAGATCGGGAAAATGGATGGAATAAGCTTTGATTTGCAACAAATTTGAGCGAATTTGGTTGAGAAATGAGCAAGAACGAGTGAATTGAAGTTCCGAGAATTCTCGAGCAAGAAACGCGAACAACAGCAGCAGAAATGAAGATGAGAAGGGTATTTAAGGAAAAACCGACTCTAGCGCCAAGCGTCAGACCTTGGCGTCAGTCGATAAGCTTTAGCGCCTGGCGCTAGTACCAGCGTCTGGCGCTACAGCCAAATAAACGGTGCCAACGTTGTTTTAGCGACGCCAGAACGTTCAGCCACTCAGTACGGTTGTTCCAACCTTGTGCAGTATATTTTGGGTTCCTTGGTACGCCATTTAGCCCCTCTAAGCAATTTGACACGATTTTTAGTAATCGGCTTGATTACATAAAGTGATCGACCTGATGAAAGTTCGTCTCACTTAGCTTAAAGCGCCTAAGCATTGGCTCAATGCAAAAGGCACCGACATACTGGTTCATTCAGAAAGGCACCGACATACTGGTTCATTCAGGGAAAGGCACCGACATACTGGTTCAAAAGCAGCAGAAGCGCCGACATGCAGGCATAGCGAAAACAAATTTCAAGCGAGCTTTTAAGGATCGACAAGCAGAGGTCTGAGGTAATTTTCTTTGGAATATTATCGCAACAAATGAGGGTAGCTTCAAGCAAGGATATCTTCGGCAGCATTCCCTAGCTTGTGGAGAGTTGTCACAAACAACTGAAGATGATTTCAAGGGAAGTTGTCTTCGATCGTGTTCCCTAAGATGTGGAAGATGGTCATAAAGTGGAAGAGGATCGTTTCAAGCGAAGCAATCTTGGATAGTGTTCCCTGGCTTACGGAAGATTATGAAGGCGACATTGGAGGCAGTTACAAGCGTAGCAGTTTTCAAGCAGGATGGCATTCTCTAGCTTGCAGGAGGTCGTCAAAACAGAATACAGGAGCAAATCGGATACTTCAGAGACGTGTGCTCGACGGTGCAAGATTCGCGTTTCTTAA